AAAAAAAAAAAAAAAAACAGCCTGCCAAAATTCTGATTTCAACATTCCCAGTCCCCACCCCTGAGAACATTGAGGTGAGAGTGTGCAGGAAAACTGCTCCGGGTTTGGCTTGGAAATTGTGGCAGAGCCGCCGGCGTTCAAGTGAATTCTGACTTACAGAAGAAAGCATCCTGTTCTTTCTAYACACAGGCAAGAGCTCCGCTGCTCCCTGGGAAAGGGGAGGCTTTCTGGGGCTGGGTGGCCTTCAGCACCCCGTGGAGTGGGAGAAGAGGTTCTTGCTGACCCCACTCCTGCAGAACCACAGCCCTCCCTCCCTTCTACTTGGAGGTCCCGGGAGGAGGGGCATGTCTGTGGGCACATAGGAAAGGCCCCTCTGCCAAGGTTCCTGGGTTTTGTCAGAGCACAGAAATGTCCCCAAAGCCATCAAACTGAGCATCAGAAATGCCACAGCATCTCCCCCTGCCAGACCCATCCAGAGGGGACAGTAGTCACAGGTGCAGCTCCAGGGCTCCTGGGGAAGTAGCCACAACACTGTCAGCCCTGGGCAGGGGTGGGGGCAGCTCTCCACACGTAGTCTGGAAGGAAATGCGGGACTCTGTTAACTCCTGGGCCATTGAGGCCACCGTGAGGGTTTGCGTCTGTGGGACTCAGGAGACCCAGGGACACTGGGCCTCAAAGACCTGGAGCTCTTCATGTGATTTCTGTGTCACTGAACCCGGGATTCCAGAGCTCAGAGATCTTCGTGCACTAATGCAGACGTGTCTTTGGCTAYCAGTGTCGGGGATGAGCAAGGGACAGTAGATATATCATGGAACTGTGAACTGACTCAGGAAAGCCATGTGAGATAGCAGGAAAGAGGCAAGGATGTGGGCTTCAAGTCAGACCTCTGCTCCGACCCAGGCCCCGTCACTTAATGAGCTGCGTGACTTTGTCTGAACTTCCTCATCTACAAAATGATGAGGAAGGCCAGGATGCCCACCTCTGAGATTCCTGGGGATTAGGTAAATAAAGTCTGGAAAAGACAGGAAGGAGGAGCCAAGAATAGGGCCTTCCATCAAGGCCAGGCACTGAAGGCCCACCCCGTGAAGGCCCACCCCGGCTCCTCAGAGTTATTAATTGACGTGAAGCAGTGTGTACCTCATCTCCTGATGCTCAGTAACGGGGAGCCAGACCCTGTCATCCCAGTGCTCAGTGATTCCCAGAGACCAGGGCTTAGGACATTTCAGAGGACCCTGCAGAGAAAATGAGACTGGGTGAAAGGGAGGGGGCACCTCCTGTCCCTGTGGCCTCCTCCAGCTTCCCCTGAACTGGCCTCCTAAGGGGCTGGAGTGCGTGGCCTTCCCATCTCCAAGTGTGGGGAAGCCAGTGTTTCCTACGGGCTTACTGCAGATAAGGTGCTCAGGTGCAGCCAACCCTGCACAGCAGGTGTGAGCCCCATTTTTCAGATGAGAAAATTAAGACTCAGCAAGGGGAAATGAGTAGCCCCACTTCAATAGCTAGAAAGTGGAAGGGCCAGTGGGCTGGGGTTAGGGATCCCACTAACACTCAGGGCAGGTGGAGCTGGGGACGTGCAGGCAGCACCAGGCCAGAGGTGGGTCATAAATAGAATTCTGGCTGCTTCTGTGGGCAGGCCACGGAGGGCCCCCAGGTTCAGTTTGGAGGGTGGTCCAGGAGGAAGGGTAATGAGGACACTCAGGGATCCATCTTGCAGGCTCAGGACCCACAGAACACAGCAGCCCTGCTTCTGGCCCACAGCCCAGTCCTCGTGAGGAACTCCTTAGAAGCTGATGCAAAGACTGGCATTCGAGGACCCCAGCTCCCCAGGGTGCCGTCCCTTCAGGGGTGGTTTTCAGCCAGGGTGATGGGTGGGTCCTGGCCTGCACTCTGGGCCTTCACATTTCAGCCTGGTAGTGAGATGGGGACAAGGACAGGGCAGCATGTATCCCTGTGTGGGGATGAGGAGCAAAGCCTGTGAGGAGAGACCGAGGTTCCCTACTGCCACCTTGTCACCTTCTCAGTCCCAAGTCCCACTTCTCCATCCTCTGTTCCCAAAGCCACCCTGTAGCAGCATGCTCACTGTAGCCCTGTCCCCATGCACAAGTGCTCAGCTACCTCACCACTGCTGCRGTCTCTCCTGGGCCCCCGACTCAGCCCTATCTCCCCGTTCTACCCCTTAGAGCCCAGTCACCCAGTTCCCTCCCTCCTCACCCATCATCCACCGCTGGCCCCACTGTGTAARGAGGGCAGGATGGTCACACATCGTGCTCTGCCCTTGGAAAGAACTTGACCCCAAATCCCCAGGGTTGCACCTCTTTAGCAGGCCAGGCCCCGCTGGCCTCTCCCCTCAGGCTGTGTCACTCAGGGGGCCCGAGAGCCCCTCTCCCTTCAGGTCATCACCCAGTTCCTTTAAACCCACCCAGAGACTCCTCGTGCCCTGGTTCTTTTAGGTACAAGGACAGACACATCCCCATCACTGGGCCACACGTGGTTGAAGCCTCTGCCCATAAGAGCTATTCTCCAGACCCAGGGTTGCCATGGCAATGCCAGGTACTCATGACCCGAGGAAAAAAGATGGCTTGAGCATTGGCCCCGAGTGACTCTGAAGGCCTTTACCAACTACTTGTGGGCAGGAGTGGGGACAGGGAAGGGCYTGGAGATGATTTATCTGGAGGTCATGCCTCAGAGTCCAAGCAAGGTAACACGGGAGTCATGCATCCTGATCCTGGCTCTGTCCTACCAAACTGTGTGACCCAGGGCAAGTCACCTTGCCTCCCTTGCCTCAAATCCCCAAGTGTAAATGGAAGTGAATGAGCTTTTCTGATTCACCCCAAATCCTGAGCCAGGCATGGTGCTTGGCTGGAGAGGGTGCTCGGAATATGTGCCCTGCACTTCAGAGCCCAGAGGRCAGGGAGGAGGGAAATCAAACCGCGCAGGAGGAAGTGCCGGGCAGGTGTCCAGGACTGCTGTCCCTATTCTTTCTTTTTCATAACTGAGTAGCAGAAGGWACCTGGTGATAGAGGCCCATTTATTCACATGAGTTCCTCGGGCTCATTTAAAACACAGGAGTGAGCACCTGCAGTCTCCCGGGGACTGTGCTCTGTGCAGGGATGCTGGGAGTCATGTGAAGTGGAGAAGAGACACGGCCAGGGACAAGCAGGGCCTCCAGAACTGTGGCAGGCAGGAGGCCAAGGGTGAGGACCCAGGCATTGGGGCCAGGCTGGATCTAGACTCAAATCCTACCCCAGACACTGGGGAATGCTGAGATATTCTGCACTCCATTTCTTCGTCTTTACGTGGGGAATGAGAACAGGAGCTACTGTGTAGGGTTGATGAGAAAGTTAACCAAGATAATCTCTGAAAAATGCCGGACATGTAGATGGTGGTTCTTAAGGACAGTTGTGATTACAGGGGTCACCGTGGWGGTTAAGAAAAAGTGCTGAGGACCGGCACGGCGGTGCACGCCTATAATACCAGCGGCTTGGGAAGCTGAGGCAGGAGGATTGTGAGTTCCAAGCCAGCCTCAGCAACTTAGCAAGGCTCTAGTAACCCTGTGTGTAAATAAAATACAAAAAAAAAAAAAAGGACTGGGGTTGTGGCTTATTGGTTGAGTTCCCCTGGGCTCAATCCCTGCTCCAGAGAGAGAGAGAGAGAGAGAGAGAGAGAGAGAGAGAGAGAGGGAGGGAGGGAGGGAGGAAGTGCTGAGGGAGATGGAGATAAGGAGATTGTGGCATGCTGGTACTGTTAAGTCCTGCTGGTGTCCCTGTGACCTCTTCAGTCTCTGAGGTGGGTTCCTGTGGGTGTGCCTCAGTTCACCATCTTTCTACCTCACTTCCGTCAGAGGAAGGCTGTGAGGTAGGACTGGTCTTCTTGTAATTGCACAAAAGGAGGCCACCAATGGACTCCGGTGAGACCCAGGCTCAGTGGGCAGGGAGCAGAGCAGGGAGCCCTCCTTCCCTCCCCACCCAGGCCTGGGTTCTGGGTTGCTGCCTGGGATACCAACGCATCCTGGCAGGCAGGCTTTGGGCCATCTCAGCTCTACTCTGCACAGAAAAAGTTCTTTTAAGGGATGGCATGCAGCCACACCAGGCTTCATGCAGGGCTTAGCTAGATGAATGACAAAGGAGGGGGAGAGAAGGGTTGTTTGCCCTGGGGCTGGGGAGGGGATTGGCAGAGAGCCCCTTACCACAGCTTCTGGCAGCTGGCCCTCCTGGGGCCTTGGGACTGAGAGGAGCCTGGGTTCTAGACTCTCCAGTGTGGGAAGTTGGGGTGCAAAGGCATCAAAGCAGCTCTGGAAAGCAAACTTATGGGAACACCACCCAGAAGAGCAGTCCAGACCGGTCGGGACCAGCTGTGCAAGTTCCAGAAGCYGTCTCTGGGAACCACAGTTGGGGCCATAGCATTGCCACAAGCCCTTGAGGGGTTGGGTTTCCACCGTGTTTCTGCCCCCAACAATCCATCTGGTTCCCAAACGTCAGCCCTCTTAAGAAGATGGTTCTTATGGGGAGGCCACGACCCAGCACAATGACGATTTTGGCTGACTGAGCTCAGCTGGGCTGGCTGCACCCCCAGACTCACCGCCGTCTCCCTGCACAGGATTGCACAGCCTGGGAAGCCCTGGTCCTCCCCTGGTCTCAGCCTCCTTGTTTCCTTTGCTCCTTCCTCCTGGGAGTCATGGCGGCTGGGTCAGAGCCCTCAGGGAGCTTAGAGGGTCTGCTGTAGACAGCTTGAGGGTCAGGGGGCACCATCCTCCTCCATCTCCCCTTGAGTCATCCTCGCTGCAGTGGGAGAGCATGTCCTGAAGTCAGATTCCCTCCTCTCCACTTCTCTCTCCCATCTCCTGTCTCCCGCACTTCTCTCTCCCTCCCATTCTCTTTCGTGAACTAATATTGTGATGGATTGTAAAAGGTACTTAGCCGGATCGCGGAGTTTAGAGATGGAAAAGACCAATTAGGTCATCAAGCCCATCTCTCTCCTGAAGAGCGGCAGAAAATAGGAGACAACAATAAACAATTTTATTGGGATATTAATTTAGGCGCCCGGAGGCCTTGACTTGTGTCTCTTAATATCATGCAGTGGATTTTTTCCCTTCCCTGCTAATGTAATAACGGGGCCATTTTGTGGACAGTGGGTTKGCATGATGGCTTTTCTTCCCCTCCTTTTCCCGAGGAAGGTCCAGATGGAGTTTCGGAAGAGCTGGGAGCGCTGGCGGCTGGAGCATTTGCACATCCAGAGGGACAGCAGCATGAAGCCCCTCAAGTGTCCCACCAGCAGCCTGAGCAGTGGGGCCACGGTGGGCAGCAGTGTGTATGCAGCCACCTGCCAGGCCTCCTGCAGCTGAGACCCCGCACCGCCCCTCCTGGGGTCCACGCTGCCCGCTGGATCATTACAGGTGGGAGAGACCCTCCCAGGGACAGGGGAAGGGACACATGCACACATACCTCCCTGCTTTCCCTCCCCAGACCCATCAGMCGGGCAAATGGGCATTGCCTCCTGGGACCATGGACACATTTTCTCTGAGGAGAAGCAGCCCGCTAATTTGATCAGTGTGGCGGGAGGAGAGGAAAAACAATTGCTGGCCAGTCGAGGAGGATTTCTTCCTGTTAAAGCCACAAGGCCCTTGGGGTTCCCCCAGACAGAGCAGCAAATCAACCCCAGACTCAAACTCCAGGTCAATGGCTTATTAGTGGGACGGGGGCTTGCAAGGGGAGCTGGTTCTGAAAGATGCCAGTGTAACCTCAGCTGGACACAGAACTCATGTGAGCCAAGTCTGCTTCGTCCACCTGGGGTCGCCTCCCTCATCTGCCTCCTCATTAAGGGAAGCTCTTTGTGTGTCTGGGTCGCTTGTTTCCCTGGTCTGTCTCCTCAGCTCACCACCCAGTTTCTCCCTGGCTTTGTTTGGCTCACTGGCAGCAGCTGTTTCTGGAAGTGACTGAGGGGTGTTGAGAATAAGCTCTGAGAAGGTGCCCRAAGACTCCTGTAGCTGGGCCCCTTCTCCCTGGGTATTTGAGCTGTTTGACGCCTGCTTCTGCTGAACTCTGGGAACCAGGGCGGCGTACCCCCGAAGAGCCTTGCCCTGGGCTATGAGGTCCCCATTCTGTTCTAAAGATGTTCAAGGATCCTCTGGGGTTCAYCTAGGGACACTTAAGGAATGTCCCACTGTGAGTGTAATGACCTGCCATTGCCGGGAATCCAGAGGGCTGAGAGATGTATCCCCCACCTCCCCACCTCTCCACCTCCCCATCTCTCCAYGGAAATGCTTTTTATCTGTGACCAGATTCTGTATCTCAACTGGGAGTTTGGGCACACCCTCTAACTTTAGGGATGTGACCAAGAAGAGACTCTGGTAGGGAAACTAAGGTCCCCATCGTGACCGTGGAGAGGCAGCCTCCCTCTCTGCCTTTCAAATTCCCCCACTTGAGAGCTTGTACGTACTTTATGTATTTTTCTTTAATTGCTGTGAATAGACTCCATGTGCCAGTCCTGATTTCTCCCACCCAATGGAAATGGGAACTACACCCTGGTTGCTGTGATGATGTTTGGGGGASTGGGGTAGTAGCTGATTTGACTCCCCCACACTTGGAGCTAATTAATGTTCACCTGCCTCCAGCCTCATCCCATCAGGCTGTGCTGAGAAAGCAGACCCCAGACTAAAAGGGGGACAGCCATCCTAGGGATGTGGGCAATGGATGTACGGAAGCAAAGGAAGCTTCCAGAGCAGGAGCGAACTCCTGGGTGTCTGGGTCCCTGCAAGGGCAGAGGGAGACGCTTTGGATGCATTCCCTTGTGAGCTGATCTCTTCTTCCTCCTGTTTCAATGGTGGGGGACCCTCCCCAAAGCTTACACCAGACACATTCTTCTGTGCCCCTCAGAGAGGCATGTGACATGCAGGGGAAATAATGGGACATAAAACCCATCAAGCAGAAAATTTCTTATACTTCAGCTTCAGTGGAGTGTTGTGTCTATGTTAATAGGGAAGTGGAACCTCAGGCTAAAGTAAGGAGCCTTGCAGACAGACCACGTCCTGGACCCAGACAGCGGGGTAGGGGAGGGCTTTCTGCTCCCCCGGAACCAGGGCGGGCTTCTAGTGTGACCCTGATTTGCTTCCTCTTTGGGAGCAGCAGGGAGATGAGCAGCTCTGGTGCAGGTATTTCAGCTTGGGATAAATTGGATGATTTTTGAGAATCATTATTACACAGCCACAAAGAAAAAGATTGATAAAATCTGCCTGAAATACGTTGTTGGGGGGGAGAGGTTGTGGGGGAGAAAATGGTTAGTTAAGGAAGCTCAGACAATTTAATTTAAACTGTAAGTGGAGTTCTTTCCCCAGCTGGACCTGGTGATTCCTGGCTTCAGGAGGCTTATCACACCCCACCCCAAGGCTGTTAACGGTGAGGAAGTTTGGGGTTTTTTTTTTCCACAAATGCATACTAGATACCAAACTGCAGAACGTTTTTCCTTGTTCCAAGACCCTGTAGTATTTCTTAATATTCATTTGAATGGCACTGCACACCCTCTGAGCCATTCCCAAACTTGCCTATGCTAAATATAGCTCCAACAGGTCTGGGAACCATCGAATGCAATGTACTCTGAAATTCCGTGGGTTGTTTACATGCCTGCTGCCATAGTCTAAGTTTGGCACTTGCTGAGAACTCTCCTGCCTGCCTCTGTCCTGGGGGGACTATTGCTGACCAGCGGGCGTCCCGCTGGCTTTGAGTGGCTCAGCTGTGAATGGTGGCCGGCTTCAGCACTCSGGCCAGCTCCCACAAACTTGGGAAGGGCTTATGTCCGTCAACAACTCTTGGCCATTTCTGTCTTTGAGCAGCTAAATGACGAACTGCACACAGCCAATGACACTGCAAAGTTGCCTTCTTTTAAAAAATGACTCTGGATTTCAGGCATGGCTTTGATGGCCTCAGGCACCTCCCACCGAACACCACATTCATGGAACTCTGGAAGACTCAGGACAGGAAAGATGTCGAGGATCCCTCCTGGCGGGATCTCTAGAAGTGAGGAGTGAGGCTCATGGAGGTGACTTGTCTGAGGCCACAGCACCAGCTGCTTAGCCCAGTGAGGCCTCTGAGAAGAAAGAACGGGTGCCGAATACAAATGGCTTTTCAACATCTACTAAGTAAAAGCAGTGTTATCTGGAATTTCTGCCGAGGAGGGAACAGCAGCCAAGGTAGAACAGGTCAGACAGTGACAGTGTCATCCCCTCCGTGACTCACACTGGTGAGAGGAGGGGAAGGGTGTGCTTGGAGGATTCTGCGCCTTACCTCATTCATCCTTGTCGTACAATGAAGGAATGCATGGAAATAGCATGTGAGCTCTTTGAATAGCAAGTCCAACACCCTTCATGTGCTGGCTTCCTTTTTTCCTGATGCATCTGTGTTTGCTTGAAAAGTTGTATTTATGGTCACACTGAGTGTACTAAAAATTAGCCTAAAAGAAGGGCTCGACCCTCTACTTTGCCTCCATAGTACCCCCCCTGATTTCAGAAAAGACCAGCAAACGGGGCAATTGTAGCCTAGCAAAGATGGCACAATGCCACCAAGGGCAGAGTCAGTTCCCCTCCGTGCCCTGAAAGCTTGGTTGCTGTCATGAGTGCTGGCCGAGTTTCAGCAGCTCACAGTAGGAGACCTCCCCTCCCTTCTCACCCCCTTGTCTCTTTCTTCCACCAGGAAAGAGCATTGTGTGTGTGTGTGTATGTGTGTGTGTGTGTGTGTGTGTGTGTGTGTGTGTCCTGTGCACAGCAGCATGAAGTTAGGAGATGACAAATCCAGAATCATTGTGCCCACTGTGAAGGTCAGGGGGCTGCAGAGCCCAGGGCAGGGATGGCTGGGAGTCTAAGTGGCAGATGCTTCCTCTCCATGCGCAGACAGGGCTCCCATTATTGCTAATGCCTGCGACGTGCTCAGGGAAGGTAAAATATATTCCAAAGGTTTATTTTCCCTCTGCTGAATTGATTCTAATCTACAGTACTGACCCCGCTTTTGGATCTTAGGAGGGAAACTATAAAAAACATCATCAAATAAAATACGTAGGTTTACTCTGCTAAGACAGTTATATGAATGGCATGCTTAAATATTCAACAGAATCCAAATTAGTAACAACTTTTTTAAAAAAAATTCCTTTTTGTGGCTGGAGTGAATTCCCTTGGGACAGAAAATGGCCCGATGTGGGAAACTTCTGCAGACATCCCCATGTCCCTCCACTGCTACCTACTAGTCTAAACCCGCTCTCTGCTCCTGCARGCAATGTTAAGCAGTACAATTTCAAACACCACTTTATTTAATGCCACAGTGGGTCTACAGTATCTGTGATGGCTTTTGCTCTGTCAATGGATACAGATTGGCAGGAAGCAGACAAACATAATTGTTTTCCAATAACTTTTCCGACTCTCTTGTGCTTGGCTTCTATCTGAATTGCTTAGAGGGCAGAGATCTCTCTCCTCCTCTTTGGCCATGTTAGCTACTGTTTGGGGAACCTTATCTAGCAGTGGCTGTGTTTTCCCCCAATGCATCCAACCTTGCTCACTGCACTCCTCCCCCACCCTCTGCTGCCTCAGGAAGAGATGACCCTGCTGGTCACATTGCCAATGCCATTCTCTGAGCCGTGACCAATTTAAGGGTGCAGCTGAGAGCGAGGCACTGCCAGGGCTCAGAATTACACGACACATTGTACGCTYTGGGACCAGGAGGAGCACTGCAGCCAGTGGCCTGGATCCTGACTTACACCAAGGAGATGCAGCCTTCCCCRGGGCCTGTCAAACCATCAGTAATTAGTCAACATGGACGATCTTGCATGACTATTATTGTGTCAGAGCAATCCAGGCAAAGAAAACATGGACAAATGAGAATTGTGTGAGAAAAGAGCCCCCACCGAAGATCAGAACCGAATAACAATTTCTGATCTTGGTTTCTTTGCCTGGGAGCCGCTGGAGCCGTTGAGGAAAAGGCCCGCTTTGCCTTAGATGGGGATTGAACTTGCCCAAATGGGTCACATTTTACTTACAAACCTAAGTTGTCCTAACTCCCTTCCCGCTAAGGATCATCAGCACATCCTTAAAGCAGATGCACTTCTAGATCCCATTAGTTTGGGAGGGTTGTGACACAGATCTATTTTTTAAATAATTGCTTAGAGAGAGGTGAGCCAGGCTCTCATGAGGGACAGAGCTAAATTTCTATCTCCCGTGCTTGTGGGGGATGTTTGTTCTTCATGAATGTTTAAACAAGATCATTTTCATGCAATTTCTTAATGCATAAATTCGTGTAAAATATGGCCTGCATCGGTAGGTAGCGCATGTGTGTGGTGTATAATTTCTTGTATACAGAGGTGAATGGATGYGAGTTCTTTCCTAATTTGCCTTGTAAGTCAAATAAAAGCCTGTCACTATTATGTGTCTCTTGCCTTCCTTTGGGAGAAGAGATTTTCTGCAGTGTCAACCCAGGTGACTCATAGTGCAGTGGGAAAACACAAAAGATGCCGACTCCAGCCCAGGGGGGGAGAAAGAACCCTTGTTCATTTTTCATATCATGATTTTCATCTTCAGAGCACTTACCAAGTACTAATTTATCCACTGCAGCCTTTATACAGAGACTACAGTGTCATTTAATTAGAGAAGTTGGGTGGTCGAGTGGCTTAGACAATGACTGATGGCCAAATGGATGTGTATTCTAATTCCGCTCATTCATTTGATC